TCCTACACTTTGCTCCTCTGCCTCCTGAGTCATTTCCCGTCTACTGTCAGATCCTACACTTTGCTCCTCTGCCTCCTGAGTCATTTCCCGTCTACTGTCAGATCCTACACTTTGCTCCTCTGCCTCCTGAGTCAGCATTCCCTCCGTCCCACTGTCTAAGCTACTGCCGGACCGGCTGTAAAGTCCTCCAGTGGGTCTCCCAGCATCACTCCGCCCATCCCCACCCCGCGCCCTGCTCCCCACCACAGCTGGTCTGAGCGCTTCAACTACAGCTCCATCGTACCACGCCCTCCTGCTCCTTAAGTGGCCTTGCTCTGCTCTTACGGTGGATTCGTCTCCTGGGGCTACCATAGCAAAGGACCACAAACCAGGCGGCTTAAACTACAGACATTTGTTCTCACTGTCTGGAGGACAGCGGTCCGAAGTCAAGTGTCAGCAGGGTTGGCGAAGACTCTACGTCTGGTCACTTGCATCAGAATACCCTCTTCAGCAGTGAAGCACAGTTCAAGGATTTTGCGCGTTTCACTTTGTGAGCTGTTGAGTTTTTAAAATTCTTTGTGTATTCTGGACAAAGTCTTTTGTTAGATACGTGATTTACAAACATTTTCTCCCAATCTGCAGTTTGTCCTTTCATTCTCTTAACAGTGTATTTCAAAGAGCAAAAGTCTTTAACTTTGGTGAAGTCCAGTTTATCAGTTTTTCTCTTTGATGCATCATGCTTTTGATGTCTTTTCTAAGAACTCTGCCAGTCACCAGGTGATGAAGATTTTTCCTGTTTTCCTCTGAAGTCTTACACTTGAACATTTTCCGTTTAGACTTATGATCGATTTGGGGTTAGTTTTTGTGTGAGGTGTGAGGTGGAGGTTCATTTTTCTTGCATGTAGTATGGCACTCCTTGACCAATGGTGCCAACACCATTTGTCAAAAAGACTGCTTTCTTTGAAATTTGGTATTGCCTTTGCACCTTTGTCAAAAATCAATTGACCACATTTATGAGAATCTATTTCTAGACCCTATTCTGTTCCATTGATCCATGTGTTATCCCTTTGTCTATACCACATTATCTTGATTGTTATAGCTTTATTGTAAGTCTTAAAATCAGGTAGTGAGATTCCTCCAACTTTATTCTTTTTCAGAATTATTCTGGCTATTCTAGTTCCTTTGCCTCTTCATATGTATTTTAGATTCAGTTTCTCTATGTATCTACTAGAAACCTTGCTGGGATTTTGATTGGGATTGTGTTAAATCTGTAAATCAGTTTTGGCAGAAAATTACCTTTTTACTGTGTTGAGTTTTCCAAACCAGAACGTGGTATGTCAGCCATTAATTGTGTTATTCCCCTAAATGTGCCTTTTAGGTTATGATGTGTCCAGGTTTGGGTTTCTTTGCCTTTATCTTCCTTGGAGTTTGATGAGCTTCTTCACTTTTGTGAAGTTTGGGGCCATTTCTTCATGTTTTTTTCTGTCCCCTTCTCTTCTTTTGGGACTCCTTTGCTCATGCGTTGGTAGCTCGATGTTGCTCTATGGTCTCTGAGGCTCTGTTCATTTTCTTGCACCTTTCCTCGGTTACTCAGCTTGAATTTCTGTTGATCTTTTGTTCCAATCACTGACTCTCTCTTCTGACATTTCAAATCTGCTGCTGGGCCCATTGAATGTTTTTTTTTTTTTCCACACTGCGTGGCTTGCAAGATCTTAGTTCCTTGACCGTATATTCATCAAAGTATTATTGTGCAAGGTGAAATACAACATTAAGAAAATGTGCTTTCTAGCACATTGAACCTGGGCCCTCAGCAGTGAAAGTGCAGAGTCCTAACCACTGGACAACCAGGGAATTCCCCCTGAATGGATTTTTAATTTCCCTTATTGTAAATACTTTCCTTCAATTCTTTTTTTTTTTAATTTTTAAAAAATTAATTCATTTATTTTGGCGTGTTGGGTCTTTGTTGCTGCACGTGGGCTTTCTCTAGTTGTGGTGAGCGGGGGCTACTCTTCATTGCGGTGTGGGGGCTTCTCATTGCGGTGCCTTCTTGTTGCGGAGCATGGGCTCTAGAGCACAGGCTCGGTAGTTGTGGCGCATGGGGCTTAGTTGCTCTGCGGCATGTGGGATCTTCCCGGACCAGGGCTCGAACCCGTGTCCCCCTGCATTGGCAGGCGGATTCTTAACCACAGCACCACCAGGGAAGCCCCTCCTTTAATTCTTGGAACATATGCATAATAGTTTCTTTGAAATAATTGTCTGATAAATCCAACATCTAGGCCCACTCAGCATCAGTTGCCATAGAATTGTTTTTCCTTTGAGTCTGGGTCCCACTTTCCAGTTATTTGCATGTCTCAATTTTTGGTTGAAAACTGGACATTTCAGATCATATGTTATAGCAAGTCTGACTTCTCCCCCCATGGGTAGTTGTAAGTTGCCTGGATTTAGTGTCTCCCCAGCTGTGTGTGGCCACAGATGCCTCTGTTTTGTATTCTTGTTTTCGGGTTTTGCCCCAGGGGTCACTCTTCGGTCTTCACAGCTGATGATTCCGCAGGGTTTGGGTGGTGGTTGTGCCCGAGCCCATAAGGCCCCACCTTGTGGCACAGGGGTTGGGAGGCCACACTCAGGGTTCAGGCAGTTCTCAGTCTGCCGCGGCTTCTGCTTTCCACCCAGGCTGCTCGGGCCCCCGGGTGGGTGTGGCCCCAGCCAGCCGGTGCGTATGGAGAACACGTGTCACCTCTGTAGCCCTGTGGGGACCGCAGAATTCAGAACAGTTTGCCACTTTTACTGACAGGTCCCCAAAGGCCGGGTTTACCCACAGCCAGCCATTGTGGGGGGTGGGAGCACCTAGGCAGAAGCTGCAGAATCTGTTTTTACCCAAAGTTATGGCAGCCTTTCATGAACACGCATTTCCCAATTTGTTGTTCACCTTTGGTTGGTTTCTGGAGCCCTGAAACGGTCGTTTTGGACAAATCATTCCTCTTTGTACTTGTTTTGGGGAGAGGATTTGCCAGCCTCTTCACTTGAGCAAGAAGGCCACCCGTGTGTAATTCTGTTGTGAAGGGAAGCTATCTCTTCCGTTTTCTCATTCAGCCCAGTTAGAGTTGGAAGGGAGAAGGACTGTTGACCAAGCAGCCAGGTTACTCAGAGACCCGCCCACTTGGCACCCTGGCTCTGGTCCGCAGTGCAGCCCCGCCGGCCCCTCCGGGGACTCTAATAGACACGAGGTCATCAGGACGCAGAGGCAGGAGCCGGACTTCGGGGAGCTCAGGGACAAGCTCCTCCCCAGGGTCACCAGCTTTCCTGTTGTCTCCCCACAGTTTGTGCTGAAGCACGAGGCTCTCGCTCACCTCCGGGAAGTGGCCCTTTTCCCCAACACCCTGAATCCCCACAAGGCGGAGTCCCTGGCACTGGTTGGAGCCATGATTGACCAGGTGATGGCGCTGCACCCGGGCGCCCGGTGGCTCCACATCGGCTGTGACGAGGTGGGTGCCTTGCCTTACCAGCAGGCGGCTCCCCCAGCTCTGCAGCAGCCCCTTTTCTTCACCTCACGGTCACCTCCTCCCACCTCATGGGTTCTTCTCTTAAATAGAAAAGTAGTTCCGAGGATAAAGAAGTGCTGGCCGAGGAGATGTCCCCAGTGAGGGCCTTGGTCCCAGCTGACAGGTGATCTCGCGCCGGCAAACCTGCCGAGCCAAGCAGGGTGCAATGGGGTGCAGGCACCCACGGGACAGCAGCAGAGCAGCCCCTGGTTATGGCACATTCATGTCCTCGGGGTCAGTGTGGCCATGAGTTTGAGCCGGTTACTTTCTTCCAATTGAAGAAGTACAGTTTTGGACTGTGGGAGAAAGGAAATTACCACTTTAGGGCTGTGGAGCACTGGCTGGAAAGGTGGTTCCCAGGGGTGCCCTCCTTGTCCTTGAGAAACACAGTGGCCAGGAAGATACCAAGCCACCGAGCACAGTGACCCAAAGGCCTCTGCTCGTCTGAGTTTAGGCATCTGAGCTGGGACGGTGGTTTGTAGACATCTTACCTCAGAGCTTGATCCTCTTCTTCAAAAAAAAATCTCTTTTTTGTAGTAAAATACATATAACATAAAATTTACCACTATAACCACTTTAAAGTGAATGATCCAGTAACTTTTAAGTCATTCTCAGTGTTGTGCAGCCCTCCCCCCGGCTACTGCAGGACCTCTCATCTCCCTGCCCTCCTATCCTCCGCCCCTGCATCCATCAGTCTCCTTTCCATTTCTGCGTTGCCCCCCCAGCACCCCATAAATGGAGTCCTGCCCCGTGCGTGGGCTTTTCTCACTGGGCACCTTCTCCAGCGTGGCTGAGTGATGTTCCAGCATGTGGACGGGCCATGCTCTGTTTATCCATCTTGTGTTATTGGACATCTGGTTATTTCCACCTTCTGGCTGCTGTGGGGCTCCAGACTCAAGACTCCCTGGCCCAGCCTCAAGGGAGTCTTGAGTCGAGGTTCGGGTCTCGGTGCAGAAGGAAAGGGCACCCTTCACTGTCTCCTCCCCGTGGGCAGCTGCCCCAGGAGTCCCCCAGCGTGAACCCGCGGGTGAGGATGGGTGGTCCTGGGGCAAACCCACCTGTGTCTCCTCCCAGGTCTACTACCTCGGAGAGGGTGAGGACTCAAGACAGTGGCTGCAGCAGGAGCCCAACACCAGAGCAGAGCTGTGTCTGTCCTACATGGAGGCGGTGGCCAGCCATGTGCAGGCTCAGCACCCCACCACGACGCCCCTGGTGTGGGACGACATGCTGCGGGACATCCCCGAGGACCAGCTCTCAGGTCGGCCAGGCATGGCCCTGGGGGGCCGGCCACGCTCCGCAGGGGGCTTCCTGGTGTCATGAGGGGAGGAAGCCGAGCTACTCTGAGCCCCCGACTGTCAAGGAGAGACCGTGTGGTAGATCCATACCAAAGCTAACTCTAGACCATCCTGTTAGGACCGTTTCTCACATGAAAATGCCATTCCCCTAAAAGGCCTCCTGGAGTCTTTCCAGGAGTACTGTTGTGAGAGATCTGACCCAGAGAGCAGCACGAGGCCCCGAGGGGCGCTGGCCCTAAAAAGCTGGGGGTGCGGGTGGGCAAGGGCCCCTGGTGGCACTTGAGAGCTTCCAGTGCTTCTAGGGGCCTCAGCCCCACACACCTGCACAGCCAGCCCTGCAGGGGCCTCTACTGAGGTTCACACTGGCTGGTGGAGGGAAGCAGTGGCCCCCCAGCCCTCCGGGGCCCAGCCTGCCTGAGGCTCTGGGGTGAGACAGGGAGGTCGTGGCCCATGCTTCCGCAAGGCGCACCCAGGTGTCCTTGCTGCAGCCTCTACCACATGTGGCCACTTGGGTTTGAATTAATTATAATTAAGTCCACTTAGCGGTACGTTCCTGTTGCACCTGGGCCGGCCCCGTGTGCAGACAGTGTGTCCCCCTTGAGGGAGCTCTGAGACCGCTGGCCTGGGACTCACCCCTGGCAGCTCCAGCAGTGTCCAGTCACTTCCAAAGCCAGCTGGCCTTGTGGCTGCGGCATTTACAGCCCAAATCATAGCATAGTATTGAGTCTGTACTTAAATCCATTTTAACGCAATAAGGGAGAGTTAGAAGGACGCACCCTCACAGCCTCTCTCCACCCCCAGCATCGAGGGTGCCGCAGCTGGTGGAGCCTGTGCTCTGGGACTACGGGGCCGACCTGGACGTCCACAGCAAGGGTCAGTACCAGAGCAGAGCCCGGTGGTCATGGGCTCCTCCCGGTTTTCCACCCGGACAAGTGTGTGTTTCGGGCTTCCCGGCTGCAACTCCTCAGCGTCTGCCACTCACACCTCTCACTTGCTCACCCAGCGCTCCTCATGGAGAAGTACCGGAAGAGCGGCTTCTCCTGGCTCTGGGCCGCCAGTGCCTTCAAGGGAGCCACGGGGGCAAGCCAGGCCCTGACCCCCATCGAGCACCACCTCAGAAACCACATGCAGTGGCTGCAGGTGGCGGGCAGTGTGCCAGCGGACACGCTGCAGGGCATCGTCCTGACTGGCTGGCAGAGGTGAGGCCATGCAGGCCCTAGGGACGTTCTCGGGGCTGGCCTTTCCCGGGAGGGTCCAAGCGGCTCCCGTCACCTAGGACACACTGCCCTCCTTGGCCCATCCAGTCTGGGCCTCAGTCCTTCCCGCCATTTGGTCAAGGGGAAGCAGCCGGCCCTCTGAGGAGGGTGTGGAAGGACCAGCTGCACAAAACAAGCCACTTGGGGTCAAGCCCCTCGCACCACCCTCTGCAGAGGGGACGCTGCTTGGGGTGTTCAGGGCCCTAGGGCACTGGCCCTCCTGGCCCATGCCCTGTCCGAACTACCCGTCTCTGCCTGTTCACCCCGTCCTGCGCCCCACCCGAGGTCATGTTGGGAGAAGCATGAGGTCAGACTTTGGCTTGTTTAGGATTTCACACCATTTGAAAAGTAGAGCTACAGTTAAACCCCTGGTCCCAGGCAAGTCCTGCCCTCAGGTCCCATCCTGAGGGGGAGGCCAGGTGGCCCTGACACCAAGAGCAGGAGGCCCTGAACCCACAGGAGGGAGCAGGAGGCAGGGCTGACCCACTGGACCTCAGCCCTCACTCATAAAGCTGAGTCAAAGGTTAACTTAGGGATTTCAGGGTGGCAACCACAGAGCATTAAGCCCAGGCAGGTCACTCTGGGTGGGGTTCCTGCAAAGCCATGGAACCTTCTGGAAGCAGCAACCGCTCTGCAGAAGCTTCTAGATCCCTGTCCTGTCTTATGGTGACTCGTGTTTGAGCATCTGCTGTGCTGAGCGCCCCTCTCCCACGGACTTAGGTATGACCACTTCTCTGTGCTGTGCGAGCTGCTGCCCGTGGGAATCCCGTCCCTGGCTGTCTGTCTGCAGGTGCTTCTACATGGTATGGTCCCCTCTCCCAGGAAGCCTAGTGCCCGGGGCCCCCAACTGCCACCTCCTCGGGGCTGGACTGTGGTCTTCCAACCAGTGCGGGGGAGGGGAACGCACCCATGGCCCCGGCTCAGCCACCCACCCACCCCACTGCAGCCCGGGTCTTCGAGCCTAAACCCAAGACACAGACCAGGAAGTTAGGAGGACATGCCCCGCAGGCACAGTGAACCCACAAGGAAATTCATCATGGATAGGGTGCAGGAGAGGGCCCGCCTTTGCTGCATAAATATCCTGAATGCCCAGTGCTGGTGGGTGTGGCCCCAGAGAGGCAGCTCCCTCACCTCTGGTTCTCGAGGGAGCAGCCAGGTGTGGGCATAGATGCTTAGAGACAGAGGAGACCAGCAGGCAAGGTTGGTGACGAGGCCCTGGTTACATAAACTGCATGTTATACGGGACCAGGTAGGAATTTAAGTAGCAACGTGTGTGGTGTTGGCACAGAAAAACATCGAGGTGGTTGAGGAAAGTAAGGACTGAAAAATAAACACACTTGGTATTGTGCTGAGCTACAGGGAGGTGGAAGGACAGATACTGGGACTCTGGCTTATCCTTTTTTGAAGTGTCAGTTCTGAACTCTTTGGGGAAAGGTACAGACAACAGAGCAGATGCCTGTGCTAATAGGAGCACATTGGCCTTGGCACCCCTTCCCCAGGAGGCAGGCAGCACAGAGCCTCCAGCGTGTTCTCACCTCCCCACCAGGCTGCAGTAGCCTTGGGCTAACCCATCCCTGAGGTCAGCATGTGCCCAGCTGGGCCTGGCCGGCGGTCCTTCTCAGTTGCTTTGCCCACCACCCATGCCTGAGGGCCAGGAGGTCCAGCCAGCACGGAGTCCAGGCCACCTTCTCCTCCAGAGGCCTCTCCAACCTCCGTCTGTGGTTGGTTTTAGGAGGCTTTGCCGAAAACGTTAAAGCAAGAGTGGAGAACTTTCTTGGGACTTCAAGCTTGGAAGCAACGGATTTTAGGAGGTAACACCCTCACCCCCAGCCCTGCCTGTCCCCTCATATATGGATGCATCCTCAGCACAGTGGCTCCCTGTGCAGTGAGAGGGCCGGCTCCTTCCCTGGCAGCGACATCTTGAACCTCGTCACACAAGTCAGCCTCCATCTGTGCAGCTCCGTGGATGCGCTGCTGGAGAGGGACAGGTGAGTGGGCAGGGGAGTGACCCCCCACCCGGCAGGGTGAGGGCCAGCCAATCCTGCAAGAAGACTTTCTGGGCAGAAAACAACTTTTTAAAATTTCTACCAGATTTTCAAAGGTCTTATTTTACAACCACTGAGCCTTACGAGCCACAGTGTGCCTACCTGTGTGTGTGGATTTGCCCCCAGGTATGTGACCGGCTGGTTCAGCCCCTACCATCGCAGGCGGAAGTTCATCCACCCCGTCATGATCCAGCACATCCAGCCCCAGGCGCACAGGTAGCCCATGCCCCTCCCAGCTGTGCCCATCCCCGAGGCTGCCCACCCTCTACTGCATGTTGGCAGCTTTCTGGACAAGCTTTCTAGGTATTGCAGCCGTGGATTCCTAGGTGACTCAACTGCATCAGCTGTGCCTTTAGGCTTTAGAGAAGCTGGGGCGTTCCTGCCTGAGAGGGTGAGGGTCACCAGATGCCCTGAGCAGGGTCCAGGGCTCACCATAGAACCAGACTGCCTAGGGCTGATCCTGGCCCTGTGGCTGCATGTGTCACCATGGGGACAGGGTCCCAGCCAGCCTTCCCCAGTGCTCTCCTGGCTCTGAGAGAGGCCAACACAGACTGTCCCCGCTGAGTATAAGATGCAGTCAACTGTCAACAGGTTCATGCACCAAGAAAAACCCTTCCAGCCAGTTGTGAAGTGCCTTCTAGTTTCAGAGGTCAAACTGTGACAGTCATTCACTTATTCCCAACAACCCTATGAGGCTGGTGCTAACGGCCCTGTTCTATGGATGAGTAAACTGAGGTACGGGATGTACTGACCCGTGGGGTTCTGGAGGCCATGAGGTATGCCCCAGGGCCCTCGCCAGGCAGGCTCACTGCCTCCTGGTCCTCAGTCTCCTGGCCAGGTGGAGCGTTCTCGTGGGGGAGCTGGAGGCTGCCCTGCAGCGTGTCTTCTACCCAGACGCAGTGGAGGAGTGGCTGGAGGAGAACGTGCGCCCCAGCCTGCGGCGGCTGCAGGCTTTGCTGCAGGATCTGGGTGAGGCAGCCGGCCCCAGGCCCGACTCGAGCCAGGACCCCTGAGGGGAGGGGGCCAAGCTCAGGCTGTCGGCCTCCCTGCACCCTCATCCAGCTGCACCCAGCCCCACGTGCGCCTCCTGAGCCCTGGGCAGCCGTGCCAGCAGACAGCGCCCACAGAAACAAGAGTAAACATGGAAGGAAAAGACACTCTGGGCCTATACAGTGATCAGCATTAGAACTTTAATTCTTTCAAAATAAAAAGGAGAATGGAAGCCAGAAATCTCAAAGACTTAGTTACTGGCCCTCACGATGGTCTGGAGACCCTCCTCGCCCAACCCAGCCCTGGGAGAGGGGAGCTGGCCAAACACCCTCCCTCCTCCAGCCCAGCGGCAAACACACAAGAAACCAACCATAGCTGTTTCACACCTTTTAAGAAAAAAGTATTTCAGGTTTAATCATTTAGAAACTTAACTTTGGCATGTTTAAATGACTGTGTGCCCAAATTAAGGGCTGGCTGGTGGCCACCACTGGTAAGGGAGAGGATCTCATTTCTCTGGAGTTTCCTGGAAGTTGCTGTCTCTCACCCAGGCAGCCTCAGAACCCCTGGTCCATGCAGCCATTCCCAGGTGCACAGCCTCCTGGGTCCCTCACTCAGAGGTGCTCTGGGCACGTGCTGTACCTTGGAGGAGCCTAGGTTCAGAGAAAGCAGGAGAAAACTAATAGTGCAGTTGAGGGTCAGTGTGGCTGGCACCCAGACTCCACGAGGGTGGCTGCAGCTAGCTGCTCAGGCGCTGCTGAGGGGCAGCCATGAGCCCAGCGATTCTGGCCCCAAACACACAGGCCCAGCACCAGAGTTCAAGAGAAGCTGGGAATCTGGGTTCTGAGGGATGGGTCCAGGTTTTTAAGTGCTGCACAATGCTAGAAGAGGGAACTTCTGCCTACACTGGGGGCAGGGGCGGGAGGTTATCCTCTCTGTGAGAGCCCAGCTGCAATCCCGGTTGGACTCGAGATGAGCCACCTGAGTGGACAGCGGTCTGGGGGCTGTGGAAGCCTCAGGAGTGGCTGCAGCACACCAACCAGGCGTGCCCCTTAGCGTCCACCCTGAGCCCCGGCAGCTCCGCAGGCGAGCACCTCACTTCTGACCACTGAGGACATCCGGCTGCGGGGAGGGATGGGCATGGGGAGCAGGGCAGGAGATGGGATTCCTGGGGATGACGTGTGGCGGAAGCATCCTCAGAGCCTCGCCCAGCCGCTGGCCCTGCTGGAGCCTCACCGCAGCCCTCAGGACCTGGTTCTGGAGAACCTCTCGACCCAGAGAACTCAGCCCTGGCCCTCACACCCTGGGACCCTGGGTGTTCTTCCTTCCCATTTCAGAGGCCTTGAGCCCCACACAGCTAGCATGTCTGACCTGTCCACACCAGGCCGCTGTCCCAGTGGGCTGATTCCAGGAAGAGACAGATCTGAGGCCTGTGCCCTCTCTGGACCGCTCGGAGCCTGCAGAGAAGGTCCCACTGTGGTTTTGCTCAGAGGACAGAAGCAAGCAGCAGGAACGGCTGAGGGTCCTGCCCCAGGGCTTCCAGGGACACAGCGGGTAGCTGAGAAGGAGGACTTGTAGGTGGCCCATCAGTCCTGCTGGGGCCCCACCAGAACCAAGGCAGGGGTTCCATGGAGGTCAGCTCTGGTCCCCAGGGCCATCGACCTCACTGTCACTGCTCTGAGACAGCTCCATGGGACTTTCAAGGCAGTGCAGCTCCAGGAAAGTAGTGATGAGCTTGGCGATGGCTTCCACGTCACTGGTCCAGACAGGCACAGGGAGGAAGGGTGGGTTATTGTGACAGGTACTGGCCACCCCGCAGCAGCCACAAGACCATACCTGTCTCACCCCAGGTATCTGCCTCCAGTAACCCACTAGGACCCAGCACCTTCAGTCCTGATCACCATCCCCACCGGACCCTAGCCCAGTCCTCTGTGCCCACTGGGGACCCCTAACATCCCCATCCCCTCTCTGTCCCTGTGGGGACCCCTGACCTCCCCCTAGTGAGTGGTGGCAGGCCTGCCCCCCGGCCTCATCTCCTCCCCCACGTTCCTGAGGCCTCTCTCCATGCCCTGCCGTGCTGGGCAGTTCCTGGGGAGGACCACCTGACTGGGGGTGAAGGGCAGCCCTGGCCAATCAAGTCACCCATCCTCAGCTTACCTGCGGTGGCCCATGACAGCACTCTGCGTGAGGGGGTGGGAGAAGCCCGTGGCAAACCGAAGCACCACCACATAGCCCTTCCCGAAGTACCGGACCTTCTCCTCCTCCACGTTCACGTCCCGGATGTCACTGAGCAGGACCACCACTGTGGGCAGGGCCCTGTCAGTGGCCGTGTCCCCCACTCACCCTGCCCCTCCCACCTGGGTGCTGGCACAGTTGCTTCGGGGCCACGATGCAGAGGATCACATCACGCTTGTCATGAAGCAGAGAGCACGTGTCACTCCATGTCTGCGGCTGGGCTCATGCCGAGACCCTGACCCTAGATGTCACAGGTCAGTGACCACAGTGCAGGGTTGTGTGGCTGCTGGTTAACGTCCAGTCTGGGTGAGAAGGAATGTCCAGCAGGCCCACTGTTGTCTTGAAAAGCCCACCCCTTCTCTCAGTCTAACACGTCAGGGGGCGGCTAAGCACAGTGCTGCCCAGCTTTCTGCTTCATTTTCCCCAACTGCGGGAAAATGCCGTCCTGGTTTCTAGTGGCCAGTCACTGAGCTGGGGGCTGCCCAGCAATTTCCTTTGGGCCAGGGCACGTCCGGGGTACACAGCGTCCACGAGGCAGAACACAACCCTGGTCACTGAGCGGCCAGCTTGGACCCAGCCCGTTTCCAGGCCTCAAGCCTGCTCCCTGCCACCACACACAGACGCTCGCCGCCCTCTGTCCATCCCAGAGTAACCTGTGTCCTGTTCACTCCCCACACCTCACCTTGATCATGGCCCGCTCTGCAGAGAGTCAGCAGCTTCCTATACAAGCTGAACGTCTTCAGCACGACCTTCCCGGTGCTCTTATTGAAGGTTGCTTCCTAGAACGCCAGCCACAAGGCAGTCACCTGGCTGCTAGCCTGTGAGCCAGCCCAACACACACAGACTTGCCGACTGCGTCCCCACCCTCACCAGAGCAGACACTCAAGGAGGCGGCCCCTCTTCCTTCCCATCCCAGTCAGAACCCCAAACCCCTGCAGCCTGATCCCTCCAGGGGCTGGGGTGTGAAAAGGAGGAGCCTCTCTGCACTCAACAGAAGCGAGCACAGCGGACGAGGTCATCAAACAAGGGAATGGAGATCGGCAGTCAGCAATACTGGGGCCAGGCGACCCAAAGGACACGTGAAGAGGGACAAAAGGGAGGTGAGGGAAGTGGCCTTGCCCTTCTGTTCTAGGAGAACTTCTGGGAGAACAACAGCTTTAGAGGATTCCTTCGCCTAGGGATGGTCACAGACAGGCAATGTCCAGAGGCCAAGTCCAGCTATCCAGAAACCACTAAGCTCAAGTTTCAGGATGGGGGGGCATTAGGCCCCTGGAGCCTTTCTTCCTGCTTTGATTCGCACTGCAGGGAAGCCCAGGAGCCCAAAAGCCTGGGCACCCTTCCTGTGCTGGCCTCACCTCCCAGTCCTCCAGGTTCTGCACGGCCACGAATAGACAGCCCGTGACATAGAAGAGCTTCCAGCCCAGACTATCTGGGGAGCAAACACAGGAGACAATCAGGCGAGGGAAGGCAGCAGAGGGGCGAAGGCCAACGTGCCCAGAGACGGTGCCCCCTCCCCAGCACAGCTGCTTCCCAGACCGAGGGCAGGAGTGGCACCTGGGGGCCTGGCTTGCTGCCCATGCCTGCAAGGACACCCAACCCTCGCCATGGCCATCTAGCACTGCGGGCCCTGTCACTTGGGATAGGACGTGCTCCCCCAGTTCTGCCCTCACTCTCCCCTGGATGTCTACTCGTGATGACAATCACGGCACGGTGAGTAAGAGCAGAAAGGTGGGAACGCTTACAGGGAGCTGCTGAAAGCACGGATCATCCCTGCAACAGAACATGAAGCAGACACAAGAGTGCCTTTCTGAAAAATATTTTATGATATATATTTTATGATATATATTTTATGATATATATTTTATGATATATTTTATGAAAATGCTGAAGATGTAAATGAAAAACATAAGCTGCGGGGGACACACCAGCACGTGGAAGTGGGCCGCATCCGCAAACAATTTAGAGGCAGAGGCAGTCCCCAAAGCCATGCCCTGGCAGATTACAAATGATGGGCTTTCCTTTTTTCCCTCTTCCAATCAGCTGAGGAAGTTCCTGGGGGGCAGGTGATGCGTCTCACCTCCACTGTAGTAGGCAGCAGCCAGGCCAATCGACAAGATTCCTACGAGGAGAAAGCAGGTACCTTCCCATTGGGCCACCACCAGCCCAGAGCCCAACTCCTCCCAGGACCCACAGACCCAGGTAAGCAGCCCCTTCCCATTGCCTGGGATGGCTGAGGGCAGGGAGCAGGGGGCAAGAAGACCACCAGGCTCAGAAGTGGGGAAAACAACTGGGAAGTCTGTTCAGAAGAATGTTCTACACCAGTCACAGTATTCACTGGACACATGTCTATGTGAGGTTGCAGAGCTGACGGGGGAACCAGAAAGAGGAACCTGATGTGGGTTTTACCCACTGACAGCACATTGTGTGGAATGAAGACAAGACTGAAGGTAAAGAATCACAACTCGGCACATGAGACAAATCAGGCAGAGTCCTGGGAAAGAAGGCCCAGAGCCAGGCCGCTGAAGGCACAGCAGCTTCTCCCCACACACCTAGGTTCCAATCAGCATGGTGCAGCTGCCCAGGGAGTGCAGGGCCCTCCAATGGGTACTGACAGGGATGGAGGCCAGGGCCTCCGCCGCCTTACTCCTCACTGTCTCCATCACGTGGGCCCTGACATAAATCAGATACCTGGGGCTGGGTGTATGACAACAAGCAAAAGGGGAAGTACGGGGACCTCAGAAGAGCATGCAGAGTATTAACGAAAGGATGTTAAATGGTGAAAAAAGACAAGACAGACACACATCATCTGTGAAAGCACGCGCAGAGGATACAAGATGGAAAGGCACAATATTGCCATATCTTGGGGTAGAACCATGGAAAAATTTAGTTTAATTTTCATCCTTTTTTAAAGTTAGATTTTTAACTTGAGGAGAAATATGAACATCCTTACCAACCAGCAGGGACCAGGACCTGATGCCTGGAGCCCTCTTCAGATGGAGGCAGGAACTGGTGCGTGTCTCCACCTGCATATACATCCCTGGAACGTGCTGCCACAACTTTCAACAGGAGACTGGGGGGCTGGGGAAGGGCAGACAGACAGCTGGAGCCCTCGAGCCACTGCCAACAGACAAGAACCAAGCTCTTCTCCAGAACAGGAAGCCAGGCTGCCCACTAGCAAGGCCCACACAGGCTCAGGAACCAGTCAGCCCGTGCTGACTGCAGCCTCTGTGGTCAGGCAAATCACTTAATCCCCCAGAGACCTGTAAGGAAGTTTCTTCTCTGCTCTGTTGTAATGGTTGCACTGGGGCTTTGTCCCCTGCTCCGACTCACAAAAGCATCAACAAGCACTTGATCATCACCTGCTCCCTTCCTACCTGGAAACCTCAGTCTCTTGGAAACCGTTAGCCCCCAGCAGGCTTCAAACTTCCGGCACCCTACCGGAACCTACCAGAACACCCTCATTTCCCTGTGCTGGCCTCTGAAAAAGGGAACTGAAAGTCTCATCATGGTTTGAGTCTGTACTGGCACTGACCGAAAAAGCCAGCTCTGCGGTCTCCTACAGCTGCCAAGAAGGACAGTCTGCACCCAGTGGAGGGAGCGGAGGGTCAGGAGGGTCCAGAGCACTGGTTTAATGAACGAGTCAGCAAAGGGGATTGCTCTTCCACACGTGGAGAATTCTGCCCTGCACGCTGCAATGCGCTCGAAATGCGGGCTCCAGGGACCCCGTTCTGGTAGCTTTTCAGATATTCCCTGTGAAGTCAAGTCAAATTTCTGAAAACAAATAGTGAATTCAGTTCACACAAACGAAGCCAGGATCCTGGGACATCACCGGCTCCTTCCCCTGACATGCCTCATCTGTCTCCACGCGCGACTCAGCCGCCCGCGGAGCGAGATCACGCCTGTCACCGGCACAAGCCACCCTGGACACGCCCCGCTGATCGCTGCGACCACACCGGGCGCCCCGCCCGGCTCGCGCGCCGCCAGGCCTCCGGGGCATTGAGCCGGGCCGGGTCCCGAGACCGCGCTCCCAGCAGGACCCCGGCTGCGGGAGCCGCCCCCCAGCCCACCCCGCACCTCCCACCCGCGAGGGCGGCATGGCCCGTCCACCGCGGACACTAACCTGCAGGCGCCGACGCGGGGAAAGGCCAGACCGCTAGGCTTCAGGACCCGCCGGCCTCCGACTTCCGGAGCTGGGGGCTAAGCCGGCTGACTTCCGGACCCGCAGGGGCTGATGGGACAACTGACTTCCGGACCGGCGGTGGAGCGGGCGAGCGTTGACTTCTGAGGCCCCCATTCAGCCCTCGAGGTGGGAGAACGGGCGGGGCTACAACGGGAGGTCGCCTACGTAGCCCCAGAGGCGGCCGCGTGGTGTGGTGTGCGCGCCCGGGAGCTGAGCACAAAGCGTTTGGGGTCACAACCCTTAGAAAGTCCGCAGAGGAAGGTGAGGTGGGTTGTACCACGAAACATCCACTTAGGATGGTGAGAAAACGTGAAGTACGTAGTCAACCTCACAACAGATACGTACGAACATTATGGTAGATTCTGTAAAAACTTTAATAAGAAATATTAAAGTAGAACTAAGATATTTGTTCATGGACTGGAAAATTATTGTAAAAATGTAAATTCTCCCAACGTGATCTGCAGATTCAATTGCGAACCCAGTAAGAATATAAGCAGGTTAAAAAACTAAATCTGAACAATGCTGCAAGGCACAGTGGAGGAGGGTAGGGGAAAACCAGAGATCCTTGACCCCCAAAAAACTCAGTGTAGCTGGGGAAACTGAACGTTCACATGTTCGTGATGGCAGTTTTTCTGCTGCTCAGAAACTTGCCCCAGTGTCTGGGAAGGAGGATTGTAGTAGGAGAGACAGTTTTCTCCAGGAAAATCTTGAATGGCCGCTTCGGTGGCCTCCCTGCTCCACTCTCCACCAAAACACTCAGCACCTGTCCCCACAGCCCCCAGATGAGGCCCCAAGCAGGACCCTGACTTGCCTATTGTCCACCAGATGGAGAAGGACCCTACCTGGAACAGGAGAGCCTCCACAACACGGCCACTGCCTGCTTCAGTGACCTCCAAACTGGGATGGTCAAGACGATCTGTGGAGTGCTAGAAAAACATACTAGAGCTTGTATTCCTACTTATTTTATGTTTTTATATCTCTTGTCATGTGTCTTATAATTTACATAAGATTAATACACAGTGCATATTACCTTATAAAGAAATAGACATACATAGATATGTATAACCCTAGATGTTTTATCAATATAGGCACAATGTCAAATATTTGGAGATGTCTTTTCTATTTTACCAGTCTCCATATACTCTCCGTCTGTGGTTCAGAATCACCTGGCGGGTTTGTTGAAACACAGACTGTTGGACCTGTTCCCAGCAGTGGATGGGGCCTGAAATGTACACGTGCTGCTGCTCTGGGAACCACACTCAGAGAACTTATGCGCTAAGCTGGAACAGAAGAAGGTTCTGCCTGAATGCGGCAGGTTTCCTCACCTGATGCCTCAGCTCACATTCTATCTTCTTGAAATGCCTTCTCTGGTAAGATCCCACACCATCCTGAAGGTCCATTTGAATTGGTTAGCACCTCCTTTAAGTCCCTCTTGCTTGGTGCAGCTGAAAGTGATCTTAATTCCTTAGGACTTAGGGAGAACTGAGTTGATACCCAGAAAATTCTACTTTGCATTACAGTTATTTTCATAATTTCACCTTTTGTACTAGAGTACAAGCCATTTAAAAATGAAGCCTAGACTAGCTTTCTACTAATGTTAAATGAGTGAACAAATGATGTCTGATTTGGTTAAAATCCTGCTGAATATTGATAAGAGCAAAAGTCTGGAAATAAATACAAAATCCATAAATAGGGGACTGAGTAAAATCTGCATATTTTGCCAGTTATCAATGCATTTCTCTTCTAAATTCAGACTTCATTGCCTGTTCTATAAAAATGCATCTGAGCCCTTATTTTGTTCTGTGCTCTCTGGCATGATATTAAGCTTTGTCAATAGAGGGTGCTGGAGACACTTGGAGGAAGAGTTTCCTTTCCTGGTTCTGGTTCTGTTGTGCTGGATCCACAGGCTTCTGCAGTACACAGGGCTTCTCCAGTGTCCAGCTTTTACAATACACACTGGCCAACTGCACCCAGCATCCACCACCTTCCCCAGCAAGCCCTAAGTGGTTTTGTAGCAGAGTGCCTCCAGTGAGACTGATGTCAGGTCTGAAGTAAGAAATGTACAAGGAAATGTATTAAAAAGCAAAGAGACTGGGCTTCCCTGGTGGCACAGTGGTTAGGAATCTGCCTGCCAATGCAGGGGACATGGGTTTAATCCCTGGTCCTGGAGGATCCCACATGCTGCAGAGCAGCTAAGCCCGTGCGCCTCAACTGCAGAGCCTGCGCTCTACAGCCCGTGCTGTGCAGCAAGAGTAGCCACCGCAAGGAGAAGCCCACGCACCACAATGAAGAGCAGCCCCCGCTTGCCTCAACTAGAGAAAGCCCGCGCACAGCAACGAAGACCCAACGCAGCCAAAAATAAATAAGTAAAATAAATTTATTTTTAAAAAATGCAAAGAGACTATTAATGTCTTGTCAGAAGAATTCAACAGAATAATCAAATAGTGGATAAGAGGAATTTCTCATTATGGAAGTCCTGCTAATAAGTGAAGAAGAAATGATAGGAGTAAAACGTCACCCTGATGAGGCTTCCCTGATGGTGCAGTGGTTAAGAATACGCCTGCCAATGCAGGGGACACGGGTTCGAGCCCTGGTCCAGGAAGATCCCATATGCCGCGGAGTTAAGCCCATGCGCCACAACTGCTGAGCCTGCACTCTAGAGCTCGTGTGAAACTACTGAAGCCCGCGCACCCTACAGCCCGTGCTCCACAACGAGAGAAACCTGCGCAACGCAACAAAGAGTAGCCCCTGCTCACAGCAGGTAGAGAAAGCCCGCACGCAGCAATGAAGACCCAACACAGCCAATAAATAACTTTTAAAACATCACCCTAATGAATCTAGGCAATCTCATCAATGGCTGCTAATTAACATCACAAGAAGGACAGACAATAGAACCCCCGAAGGGATTTTACAACACTATCTATGTAGTCTTGACAAAAAATTTTTACCTGTGATCAAGCCACTAGAATGTTTTAACTACCCTTTGCTGAAAATTCAGAATAAGGGTATGCTAAAGAACTCCACATGGATGCAGTCAGCGATTGCTGAAAACCCTGCAGTCAACCTGATTTCTTTATGATATGCAAGGAGAGAGGGGGGTATGTGGATGGAACCTACAGATTTAAAAAACAAACCAAAAAAACTCCCAAAACCTTAAGACTGGGAACCCCCTGTACTATATTTGTTAACTTCTAAGTGAGCCTTATTTTTTTTTCTAGAAACAAAGATTTCTAAGAGAGACAAACACACAAACCAATTGAAATATAGACTAATAAAACATTGAACCTTATTTAGATCCTGATTGAAACTAGAAAAATGATGAGACCATTGGGGAAACCTGGACAGAAACCTGGACACTAACTACACATTTGATGAAACTAATTGTAACTTGCTTTTTTCACACATGATGATACTGTTTATGTTTTTAAAACATTAACGAAATATATACAAATAACAACCTAAAATTATTCTTTTCTTCGGGCTGATAATTGAAGATGTTTTCTGAGAGGTGCTGACATAGATTTGAGTAATACAATGGGTTAATCTGGCAGCCAGTTAGGACCTCCTGAATTTAACTGATGGCGTTTGTAAAAAAAAAAAGTGGTACGAGCCAAAAACTATTAAAAAAGGTTTTAATGGGGAAAATTTTAAGATCCTGGTGAGGTTCTGGGACATGGAATATACTTGAATGTTTTGCTGACCTCTGTGACCGTCCCCCCCCCCAAGGTTAGGAGGAAGAAGGGTCCATTCCTGAGATTCCTGTGAACTGCTGGTGTTTGATAGAGACACCCTCATGCTTTTTTTCCAGGTGTATTTCTCATTTCCGATGGTACGATGACCATGCACAGACTTCATAAAATATTCACAGTGGACAGAGTTCAGCATCTCCTCTTAGCCCTGTATCCCCCACCACCACCCCCGGTTTGCTAGAGGCAGCGGAAAGACGCAGGTCCAGCACCACCGCTCCACAGGTGCCTCGCGCTCCCGACGGCGACACGTGCTTCCGACCCGCCGCGCGTGCGCACTGCCGCCCCGCCGGGCCTACGTGACGCCTCTCGGGGCGAAAATGGCGGCGAGGCGGCGCCGTCTCGGCCGGCCCGGAGCGGAGCGCGCGTCTGGCGCCAAGCTGACGCGCCCGAGCACTTTGGGAACGATCTCGGGTCGTCCCTTCGGGACGGTGAGCTAGCTCGCCCACAGCCGCCGTCAGACCCGCACGCCGCGGAAACCCACCGGGGAACCGGCAGCGGTCTCCGCGGGGGTCCCGCCCGCTCCGCCCCGCGTGCTCCTATTGGCTCCAGGGCCTGACCCGCCCCTTTCCCGCGGTCTCATTGGCCTAGGCAGAGCCCTGAAGCGTGGAGCCGCACCGCCCTCTACGCGTTCCTGTTGGTTCAGGCTTGTGGCTCGCTCGCTCCCGGAGCTTTCATTGGTCGAGCGGAGCGGCGAGGGGTGGGGCCGCGTCGGAGCGAAGACAACAAAGGGTGGCGGGCAGCGGGCGGCGGGTGGCGGTGACCGCGTCTCCTGGTGCTCAGCTCAGGCCGCGCACCCGGACCTGCCAGCCCCGCTCCAGATGAAGTGTGAGCACTGCACGCGGAAGGTGGGCTCCGCGCGCTCGGGCCGGGGCGGGGTCCGGGTCAGGGGCCGGGGCCGGGAGGAGCCTACGCTCGCAGAGCCTGGGGCCTCGGGGGCGTCGGGAGCCTGGCAGCTCCGAGCGCCTCTGCCTCCGCGTCGTCGCTGACAGAACCTCCAGGCGCCGGCCCTCAGCTCCCGTTCTCGGGGGTGGAGGCCGCTGAGGGTGGGCCACCCGCGCGTCCGGTTCCCGCTCCCGTCTCCCGGAGGCGGCGTGACGTCGGGGCGCATGTCTATCCTTTCAAAGTACCTTCGAAGCCAAAAACCACCAGAAAAACCGACCAACCTTTGCTACCAGTCAGGGCACTCACAGCAGACACCATCCTTGGTGTGAATTAGCGATACGGTGATCAACAGTGTTTTTAGGGGGCTTTATGCTACCTAAAAACTTTAGTGCTTACAGTAACGAAAACGACACAGAAGTG